GGGAGAGGGTTGACATGTGGGGTTGTTAACTAAAGTCATAAAACAATATGTGTACTACTGTTTAATGAGAAACTATTTGTTCTGTAAACCTTCACCTGAAGTACAATAAAAATAAAAAATAAAAAAAAATTTAAAAAGTGGCAAACATTGGTTATCATCTTCTTACATCATTTCTGAAGTCTGAATGTTTTCAAAATAAAAAATATTTGGGCACTATACACCTTCAAACTCTATCTTCTATTATACTTAGTAATATGTATTGATTAAATTTACACTGAGGCGCTTAGTTAAATTGTATAGGGGAACTGGCTGAATCAACACTCTATTAATTTATAAAAGAACACAGTATTTGAACTCCCTTAAAAAAAAATCTTTCTGAAATCTGGTTTCCCTGTCCTATGCTATAAATAGCTGAGAAACACTCTTAATTATAGGCAACAAAATGACCTAGAAAACAGAATAGACATTTTACATAATTTCTAATTAGAACTATTGTTAGATCAAGTGATCTTTGGAAACTAGAAAAACAAGACTATAATTTCGTAAGTGTTTCCTCTCACATAAGTATGGCTAATAATAACAATAGTGAACATATTTCCAAAATTGAAGTTTACAAAAATATTTATGAATAAAATATTCATAAAATGTTTTCTACCTAACCTTCTTCACTTACCAGTTATAGCAACATACCGGGGGAAATAAAGGGGAGCACATGGAGGAAGAGTTGAGGACAGAAGGACAAAGACTATTTAAGGAAATAAATCTTGTATAATTGACGTTGACATATCCTTAATGCACTTTGTGAGTAATGTTTATATATATTAAATCCTTATTCCAAAAGAAAAGCTAATGTTTCATAATTAAATACAGCCAAATATTCATCATCATAAATATATCAGTTGATTAGCTTCATTCTTGCCGCTCTCTCAGGTGGAAATCTTGTATTATATGAATACCCCAATGTCTGTCATCTGCTGTATTATAGGTACACAACATATATTTTTGTAAATAAATATCATAAACTAAACTAAACAAAAATAGCTAGGAAAGCCTTTTAAAGAAGGCAGGTATTTATTTTGGAGAATGAGAATCTATATACTCAAAATTATCACTTTATCATTATATGCTAGGTCCTTGCAAGTATAAAAGAAGAATCCATTTATTGTTATGTATTTGTATCCTTTAGGACCATGCTTAATGTCCCACAACATCTGTATCTAGAACTCACCGATTTTTAATATTTACCTTTAATTGTACAAGCACTGGTGAGCTGAAAACTCCTTGGGGATAATTTAAGGATATCCGGGAATCCATGCTTGGTTTAAGAATAAGGCCTTTCTTTGTTACTGTGAAGGACTCTTTCTTTAAACAAGACACGACAGAAAATATACCCAGCTTGTAAGCTTTCACTTCAGCACAGGTCCCCTGTATGGATTAAAAGACGTTAAAAGAAGCTACAATGCTGTTGCAGGGGCAGTACATTACTTTTCATACTCAGTGGACTCTGAAAAAAGTATGTATTTGCTGTCCATGTATTCTCCCACCGTTTGGAATGATTTCAATAACTCAGAATGTATGATCCTTTCATGAGATTAAGGTGGTATTGTTTTTAGCTGCTGTGGAGTTGGCGCTGACTCATGGTAACCCCGTGCACAACAGAACAATATACTGCCTAGTCCTGCACCATCCCCATGATCAGCAGCAGATTGAACCATTGTGATCCATAGGGTTTTCACTGGCTGATTTTCAGAAGTAGATTCTCCAGTCTTTTTTTTTCCCTAGTCTGTCTTAGTGTGGGAGCTTCACTGAAACCTGTTCAGCATTATGGCACAGCAACACACAAGCCTTCACTGAGGGACAAGTGGTTGCTGTACTTGAGGTACCTTGGCCGGAAATCTGAACCTCGGTCCACACAGAAGGCAAGAATTCTACTATGGAACCACCACTTCCCCCTGAGATTAAGGTAGATAGATACAGATAATTAGGTGTTTTTAAAATTTGTACTATACAATAGAAGTGAGAGAAATAAGTATATTTCCAAATTTAAATTCCAAATTTTGTATGTATAATGGACAATCACATTCAGTGTTGTCACAAGTATGAATCCTAACTTCCTTTAGCCAGAATGAACTTTAAATTTCTTTATCCAGGATAGTCAACATTGCTTTAGGGAATTCCAAGGACTGAAATTTCTCCATTTGGGTAGTTTACTCAAATGACATAGCACCTGTACTGTCAACAAATTTTTCCTTTTGAAAATTCACGATCTCTTTGGATACTGAAGTAAAGTCGTTTTCTCTATTTCTCTCCTTTGTAGAGTGGGAGCAGATGACTGCAGAGAGACAAATTTGTGTTTCTTTTTATATCATGACATTTAAATTTGTAATGCATACGCGCAGGCACATATTCAAGCGTCTTTATCACGCAAAAGGGAACTGAATGCATAAATGAAAACAAAATGATCCACACATATAATCACTGAAGCTTAAAAAGAAGAGGAAGATTTAGAAATAATTTGGTCTATTCAGGCTTCCCCAAACACCAGCTGGGCTCCACCCCAGCGTGAGTGAATAATCATGTATACACACAAAAAAACATTTCACGGACAATCACATGGAAGAGACTCTCTCATTTGAAAGGTGACTAAGAAAGAAATTTCACAATATCACTGCATGAATCTATTGTTGGGTAAATTCAGGGCATGATGAAGGTTCTGAATTGGCCACAGGGAACTGGCAAGAGGTAAGAAAAGAAGGTCTTTTGGGAACTGCTGGTGGTTGTCATGCTAAAGCATTTAGACTGCATTTAGCAGGTGCTGGGAAGCCCACGGAGCCCTGGTGGCACAGTGGTTAAGAGCCTGATTTGTAAC